TCTTTCATTTATGATAAATAATCCTCAATGTAAGGCCTAATTTTCTCTCATAAATGCAGAGTTGGACTAAAAATGAAATATAAACACACACAAAAGGAAAAGGGAAAAGCTAAATAGCTGAAATGTCATGTATGCAAACAGTGATCCAATTTCTGACAGTGACCTAAAATATCCATAATAATTAACCACAGCGGACCAACTTCTGTCTTCACTGGATGAAAGGTGTATGTTTATACCACACTTCGTAATGGGGAGCTTCAACAGCAACCTCACTGCATCAGTGAGTGCTTCCAAGGCAAAAACCTCTCTGTGGGCCCTAATACTTCAAGGCTGACCACCTTCACAGCCACAAGTCATATATGACTTCCTGCTGAGGCTGTAACTAGACAAACACTGAAATTCCTGTGACTGTTTTTACCCACTGAAAATGTGATCAGTCCCAGGCCCTCCTTGTTGCTAAAGGATTGCCACCTTGCTCTCTGCCCATGGGTGACCCGTCTCATGCAAGGGCGGCACCGAACACTGGGACATGAGGCCTTTGCCTCTACGTATCTATTTAACTCGGGTAACTATTCATTCCTCCAGGCCGCTGGGTGGGGAGTGGGCTAAATGACTTCTAAGGCCCTTTCTAGCCGTACCGTTTGGCGATTAGAGTTTCTATGGTCCGATAATTGGAAATCTTTACTGTGATAGCTCCACAGCAGGGACAAGGTCACGGCTAGGACGGAAGGCCACTTCCAACCAGACTTCTTCACCCATTTGGAATTGGAATTTAAGGAATCCAATTACAGCAGCATCCGCACTTGCATCCTGAACATGTGACAGGGACAGTGAACAAATGAGAGAAACACAGAAAATATCCCTTTCCGAATTGGCAGCCGCTGTCGCACAGATAATTCTTTCTGTGGGGTGTCTGAGCTGTGGCTGTACATACCATATGTCAGAGAGAAGAGTTAAAATTATAAAAGAGCACAAGCAAAATGCAGACCGCACAGAGAAAGAAATCTTTGGTATCTTTGGTGTCTCAACACGATTAAAATTACAAATGGAAAAAGTCAGTGAGGTAGCCTTCTTTGGTTCTCACTAGAAATAGAAAGTTTTTCCTTTTTTTTTTCTTTTTTCTGCTTTTTTTCTCCTTTTTTGTTTTGTTGTTTTACACACACACAGAGTTCATTCTTGGAAGCAGCTAGTGTAAGGGTTTCTCTCTTTTTGCTGTTATGATTTTTTTAATGTATTTTTCCAGTTTCTGTATAGAAGCCCCGAAATCCAGGCTGGTGAAGCAGGGTCTCGGCTTATGGTTTCTGAATGCACGGGTGCAGGTTGAATAGTCATTGCTTGTCCACAAACTCTGCTCTGTTGTTCTGACCGCAAACAAACTATAGTGTCCTCTGTTGTTTTAAATAAAAATATAAACTATACAGTGCACCTTTTGCAGATGCTGAATAAGTTAAATAAATAAATTACACTATGAAGATTCTGCGGGCCCCAATAATTAAAAGGTGAAGTTCGCCTGGTACCAGGTGGGGCTCTGAGCTTAACTTAAATAATTTAATAATTGTTATTTAAACTATTTTCAAAGTTAATTCAACAAGGAAACATAACTCAATTTCTTTCTTTCTTTTTTTGTAACCTGTATTTCTTCCCTGTCTGTAACAGAATTTCACTGCTTTATAAAGCAAACTAACCTTCAAGAGAATTCTAAAAGTGATTTTGCATCGCTGATGCACACCACTGGTCTGGATTTTGATAAATAAGCACAAGGAGTAAAATCAAGCTAAGGAAAGATGATTAAATAATTACCCAAATCCTATACATTTCTGTGCTAGAAACTAATTTAAATAAATTAATTACATTAATCATACTTTTCTTGTTGGGTCATAACCCAAAGAGACAAGAAAAAAAATTTTTTTTTACTGTCTTCGTTTTTTGATGGACAAAATGTATTAACCTCTTTCAATAGTCCAAATGAAAATAAATGAGGAAATTATAACCTCTAAACTTTACTCATGTTCATAAAGACCATTTTGATGTGACAAGCATGAAAAAAAATCCCTACCCCTCCCCGCCAGCTAGCAAGCTCCCCAATACCACGTCCCCATTGTCTCAGCCCTGGAAACCAGAGCCCGCTTATTCCCTATTAGTTTGCACTTTGTTTGGTTACTTTTTCCTTCTTTTTTCTTTGTTTTTTTCTTTCTTGTCCCTTTTCAGGTCTTTGGATTTAGCTTTAGTTATGAGAGATCCAGAATAAAGCTATTCAACCGAAGTAATCAAGCATATGTGTCATTCTTACGCAGATGACTAAATAATATCCAAGGTTTCTTGAAAGTTGAGTTTATCTTGGATGTGCCCAAATGAAAGCGGTTCCAAGTGTACACAAGGAAGATGTTGGGATACTCTTTTTTCCCCCTGCCCTTTAGTTTTCCATGTACAATAAATAATGAAAACAATGTACATGGTAGAAGTTTCACATGCATGTGAAATGATCATTTAAAATTTATTGTGACAGGTGACAGTATGGAGATGTCTGCACATACGTGTCTGTGCAGCCTAGACACGCATAGGTAACGTCTGTTGCTATAAGGATGTCTACGAGACTACATGTCGAAAGATGTGTGTGAATCCTTATACACCCAAGCTGATAGGCTGACTGCATAGGCTTGAGGCAAACTTACCTACAAAGGTCTATACTATCTGAGATGCCTGCTGCAAAAGATGGAGCAGAGTGGAAGGCTTCCATGGAATGACCAAACCAGTACCAATGTGTTTTTTCCTATACACATTATCTCTACTAAAAAGGGATTCGCTGGCTAATTTGGCATCTGAGAACAATGAACATTTCCGGTCCCTGTGCGATCCATGCAACAGCCCATCCATTATAAGGCTTCCATTATAAGCTTTGTGTCTACCTATGTGAAGCCATATATTATTTTAATAATTGTGTATTTTATAATGCATTGAGACTCCCTAAAACAAATAAACAAACCCTCCCTTTCCCCTGAAAGAAATAAATCATGGGTAGAAAGTGGGCATTGGGACATCTGTATTTAAAGCCAATGTCATTAACTTGGGAGATGTATACAAATTCAAGTGCCCCTTTTTCCTTGAGTAAGGATTTTGTGTAGAATCTTCTGCTGTTATAGATGTGATTTGGTCTTAGTGAAGAGTACAAAATTATTAAGCTATCCAGTCCTGCAGGTCAACACCAGAAAGTTACAGGCACTAGTTCTTTCTCTTCTCCATCTACTTGTTCCCACTCGCTCCTCCTGGTTAGGTTAACAAGTCTGAATCACACAGCATTAGCAGCAACAACAACAAAAAATCAGCTCAGTTTGTTATGAGTCAGAACAATCATGTTCACGGTGCTTGAGTCTGGTTCTTGGTGTCAACCTGGACCACATGTATTATTTCTTTGTCTCTACTTTTAATAGAGTCCATTATTCTTCAACAACACTGGAACCCAGCCTGTTCTTTTTATATTTTAAAAAACTCCTACTCCACAATTTCCTGAAAAGCAGAGCTCACTGCAAAGGTATATTGTCATAATACTATGCCAATGATAGTCATACAGACTCTTGGATAATCCTACCAACATTTTCAAAAGTGGGGAAGTGTTGTCCCCTGTAGATCCAAGCAGTAGTGATTTTTAAAAATCTGTTCAACTTTAATTTATTGGCATCAATAGGTGGGTGCCCAGCATAGATAAGGTAAAACAGTTGAACATATAAAAGGTATTAATATTTGGCTTTGAAACACATTGACTTATAAAAATGCACATAGATACATATATATACACACACATGTGCGTATACCACATTTACCTTCCTAATTTTTATTTTACTTTAGTTTTAAATGAAAATTAGCTTGCATTTCCTAAACCCTGAATTGCCAAGAGCCTGCAGGGGTAGGGATGCAGAGGATAGAGATGGAGAGATCTCCAGGGAAAGCATCAGGCTGGGTCCTTTGCGACTCATTCTCGCCTGTACCTCTGAGTGGTACAACCTACACACTATGTTACACTTTGAAAAGTCTTTACTATCAGGGTCGAGTTTTTTTATTATTGTTGCTGTTTCCCTTTTAAAAAATATTGGCTCTTAGTAAAAATTTTCTGGAATGAAAGAGTTATATCCCCAGTACCAAAATCACATTGAAAATAAAATTAAAGCAAGCCTATTTACCTAAAGGAATAAAGAAGAGTATTTTTCCACTCAATAGCCTTTAGACTTCTGATGCCTCAAGAATGTGAATTTTGGTTTCGAACTGTCCCTTTCATTGCGGATGGTTGAGGCATGCCTAGAATTTTTCCTGGATTGAGGAAATGGATCCTAAACCATAACAAGACCGGGTGATTATTTTTTTCTGAAATTATTAACTTAAAATTAAGATTTAAAAATGCTTGAGGAAATTTACAGGTGAAATTCCATTACCTTTCAATTTGTAGGAATTTTTTTTTCGTTCAGATTTTTAACGAATTTCTGTAGGGCTTAAAATTTTGATAGATATATAGATACAGACATGTATTTATGTATGTATGTAAATAAGTTTTTTAAAGCAAGCATTTCTCTCATGTGATGTTATCTGGTGAGACCCTTATCAAAAGTCCTTGGAGGAAAGTTCTTCCCTTTCTTACATGATGACATCTTCCTCAGGTCACCAGGAACACAGAGGGTGTATGTTGAACTCTCAAGCCACCAAGGCAGCCCCTTTTGGTTTAGGCATCTTCAGAGGATGCCAGAGACTCAAATGCTGAGATTAGAGTACCAAAGACTCACTGGTCAAACCAAGGAGGCTTGGTTACTCAATCTACTCTCGATAAAAACAACCATTTCCATTGGCCACAAGTCACAAGGATTCATTTGGAAACATGCAAGTTGGAATTCACTTTTATCAACCAATCTGAAGCCCTCCCCTGCTGAAATAAGCTCTCTCTTTTGTTTTGTTTTTTTGTTTTTGTTTTTGTTTTTTGGGGGTTTTTCTTGGTCATTTGACAAAGGAGACGTGGAATATGAGCAGGAGACAGAGAGACACAGGGAAAAGTCAAGGAACATCCCCAGGTAGGATGAATGACAAAAGTCATGGAGAGTCACATTCTTTCACAGCTCCATGGCTGCTGCCTCTGCAAAGGGAGACCCACATGGTGGGAGTGAGAGGTGGGACAAAGGACAATGGGGTTCCCAGGGGCAGGACTCAGGGGTCCTTCCCAAATCCTGCTTGGTGTTTTCTCTCCAGGACTGACACACGCACCCCACCCCTAACAACATCCCTGCCTCAACCAAGTGCCAGCTGTGGTTGCAAATTGGTAATTACCACCCTGAGGAAACCTGATCCACGCAGTGCAACGGGAGCGGGAGTTCCCCTGCAAGAAACCCCTTTGGTGGATCTCCTCGCAGAGGAGCACCTGGAGCCGCCTGACGAACAGGGAGGCTCCTGGAGAACAGATTCCCGGGCTGGCCTCCTCTCCGTGACTGGCGGGAATGCACCGCTGAGCCTTCCCAGAAGGTATCGGAGATGAGCCCCCCCGCTGGCCCTGGCCCAGTTACGGGGTGGGTCTGAGGCGTGACCCTCTCTTACCACCTTGGTCATGGTTGAGGCATAAATTAGAGACGACTTGAAATACAAATAAAACTCATTTCCACTATGGATCCCCTTATCAACAGCTTAAATGTTGAAATGCTTGAACTTGATTTTCAATCTTTCCCAGGAATTTTCACGAAATCTGAACACTCCAAAGCATCCACAGTGGCAAATGAACTCTGGGATGGCATGAGAAATGAGCAAAATTCTGAACTGAATACTTAATAAATGAAGCACTTGGCAAAAACAGGACATGAATTTGGACAGCAATCATTTTGGGGTTATCACCGATGTCAAGTTGAATCTATATATGTGTTCATATATTATATATATATCTTTCTTTAGAAATGCAACTTTACAGCTGATTTTTAAAAAGCTAATAGAAAAGTAGAAATTGGCAATTATTTTTACACGTTACCCCCCACCCCCAAATGAAGCCCTGTTAGGATGTAGCAATCATATGAAGACGAGGCTGTCAATTCCTCTATAAACTCTTTGGTTCTGTGGCTCGGGCGGGGATGTGTCACCAAGACCCCTGACCCTGACCCTCATTCCCCTTCCCTCCCCTGATGATGAGACTGAACACAGAAGAAACCTTAAGTCTAAGGGAAAAGCAAAGAACGTTCCAATGACAATACTATTCCCCCCTGCTCTGTGGAGCAGAGAAAAGAGAATCAATCGTTCACTATCCCAACATCTTAAACTTGGAGTTTATGGAACCTTCTGAGAGGTTCCATGTTGGGGTAGAAAGCCATAAAACAAAATTAAAGGGAAACAATAAAATCAAATAAATGACCCTTTCCTTTCGTTGCTCAGAAACAAAATTGATTACCTTTACACAGATCAATGGCGCTACTAGTGTGTTAGCCAGGCAAGAAGAGATAATGAACTGAAACAAAAGGTGTGAGAAATCCTCATCTTTGGTATTGTAGCTGTTGAGGTTTCTGTTGCTCTGTTCCATGTTCTTTTGAAAAACTGCATAGGCACAAATTAAAGACAATCTTCAACTTCAAGATTACCGCGTGAGTTGTCAAATGAAGCAGCAGTCGCTGAGGCTTTTCCTTACCTCCATTCTTGTCTCAACCCTTTCTTTAAAATCTGCTTCCAAAAAATGTCCCAAGAGGTCTGTTTGAACACAGTGTGTCTCGCTGTTTTTTTTGTTTATTTGTTTGTTTTTTGGCGTGCTTCTTTCTTGTTGATGGTGATTTTCACTGATTTACGTATTCATTTATTCATCTTAACGGGACAGTTTTGTTTGTTGCAGAAGTAGGTGCAGAAAAAGTTTCTTTGGTTTCGATTAAGTAATTCATAAAAAAGTCAGTCTCAAGTGTCTGTAAAGAATCATTGCAGCGTTTGGCTTGCTTTGAACACCCCCATGGTGCCCACCTGGGGCCGTTCACTGGTAAATATGCACATTGTGACCTTCGCAACCTCCCAGAGTTCTGTGGGCGCTCTCCTGCTTGCTGTTGGAAGGTGACAGCCAGAAACCACAGTGGTGTGGCAAAGCCACTCCCTGGTGGCTTGGCTAAATGTCCTTGGCATAGCCTGTCCACTCAGCCTGACAGTGAGCCAATTGCAAGAGCCGAATGCCATTTGGAGTTGCAGAGGTTTTTTGATTTCTAAAAGTAATCACAGTATTTTTAGGCTAGAAAATGGCAAGTAATAAATGTCTTTGGTTTGCAGTATTCTGCTTCTTTGGTGTGCTGTGTTTTCTCCAGTTTTATTCAGCTGTTTTGCTAGGATGACTCAAGAATGCAAAAGATTTAGGACTAGATGAGTAACATGTATGGTGGTTTGAATTTTTTTTTCCTTGCTAGAAAACACTGAAAACGTCCCTACCAATGGGATGGATGAGAGAACAACCCAAATCTGAAAGAGTGAGGATGCGTCCCGTGGTGGCCAGAATGCACAGTAGGAGGGACCAGGTGACTAATCATCAAGAAGGATACATTGATGATCTAAAAAAATCTAGATCTTTTTAAATGCTGCATTTGCTCCATGTACCGTAATAGTTAAGTTGGCCTCCTGAGTGTGCGTCTGCATTATGTACAAACAGAATTTGTAGCAAACTGCAAAATGTGCTTGAAGTCATATTCCCAATGATTCCCTAGTGACTTCACTATCGGTGTCTTGAAAATCCAGATGTGGCAAATCCAAAACCTTCCTTACTTCTCTATTTCTCTTCGTTGTGCTTGATACTTTGAGCTCAAGTGAACTGATTCGTTGTTTTGATGGATCCAAGACCATGTGAGATTTCCAGGAGGTAAAGAAAACTGTAAACTGGATCAACTTAAAGCTTTCAAAACCGTTCAATGAAAAGATGCCTGAGTTGGGAAAACAGGTCCTTGGATTTTTTTTTTTTTTAACTTCCATATTTAAAACTTGTGCTCAGTAATTATCACTCTGATGTTCTTCATGTTATGGCTGTGAACTCTGGTGTACTGTGGTGGAATGAGGCTAAGCGCTTGGAAAGCAAATGAGGTCATTCTGGTTGCTAGATTCTTCTCTTACTGTAGCATCTTGGGAGCCCAAACTCAGGCCGAATTCCCACCTTTACATCTGGGAACCAGGTCTGCAAGAGGTTGATAGGACCTGAAGTAGGACTGTTGACATTTTAAGCAATCCTGAGCTTGGCTGACACCACACTGAAATGAACTTGCTCCAGGAAGGCCCCATTTGGGCTTCTGAGATGCTTAGCATGCTCAGAGGACAATGTCCGGTTCAAAGAGATTCATTTTCAGCTTGCACTTGGACTCCGTAGCCATTAAAAACAAAACAAAAAAGAACACCTGGCCTATGATTACAGCTAGAAGTTTCTTTCCAAGAGAATTGTGCTTTCGAATCACCAGTGAAGGGCCCCAGCCAAGAATCCGGTGTCTTTTTCCTTTGTATTTTCTTCTGGAATCTGTTGTCCTCATCTGGAGGTGACGTGTGCCCAGCTGAGAGTCCTCCCGTCATGCTTTGGTACAGGTGCTGGCGCTGGACGAGGAGCCCCCTGTGCTCAGGTCGTCTTGCCACTTCTCTAGGCTGCGGCGCCGGGCGTTCATGAAGAAGTTGCTGACGGTGGTGAGCTCCAGGCCCAGCTGCTGGGAAATGGTGATCTGCATCTCTTTAGATGGGCGCTTGTTCTCCTTGAAGATGGCAAAGAGTGTTCGGCGTTGGAGGTCAGTGAACACCAGGCGGGATTTCTTCTGGGAATTGTTCCTGTCTTTGTTTGGTTCTTGCTCTTTGCGTTTGCACGCTGGAAGGGAAAGGGAGGAAGGACAGAGTCAGTGCTGGCACCTGAGAAGGTGATCCATTGAAAACATTGACCAAGTCGTACAAGGGGATGTAAACCGTTAAACTCTATTGTGCAAATTGCCCAGCTGTCAATAACCAGACTTGCCAGCTCATCTCGGGTGACAGGCGGCATCCGTGAGTGGGGGAAGGGAGAATGGAGACAACAGCAGGGCTGCTTCACTGGCTGGTTTGGAACCAATTGCTTTCTCCTTCAGCCGACCCCCAACCCCCGCGCCCCCCCCCCCCATTTTATCTCTGAAATCAGGTGCTCTGAAGGGAGCGAGGACTCCAGGTCCCCAGGGGAAGCCCGGTTAGGCAATTCCTCTTTCATATTCACTCTTGAGAATTGTTTACAGCTGATCCTAAATTACTTTTGGGAGTCAAAACTTAAAAGTGCATAATTTTTCAAAATCAAAGCTTCTACCCATGTGACTCAAAAAATTGTTAACAGAATGAAATTAGAAGTGACAGAATGATGGTATCATCCCAACCCAAATCCCCTTCTTCCAGACTTTTGAAAAATTAAGAGGGAAAGGCTGTGAAAACTTTGGTTCGGCCGACTCTCACTGGGCTAGTCTGAAGGGAAGGCAGCACAAGAAGGCCCGGCTTTCTTCATGGGCCAGATGCCAACCCACTCAGTCAGTGGAACTGGCGACAGCCAGGCCAACATCCATTTGGGAGGCCCAGAACAGAGACAGGGAGGGCACGCCACACCAACGGACCTGGCCCATTCTCGGTCACTGGGGTTTCATCCCTCCCATCACTTCCTTCTGACGGTAAGTGCAAACAAAGCCCTGGCGAGACAAACCTGTAAGCCATTTGGCAAATTCTCCAGGACAGCCATGCAGGGGGCACCTGAGGTGAACAGCCTGCGTGCCAGGGACAGAGCTGCTGTAGGCTTCTTACAGCAAACGTTACGGGCAGAGGATGCCAGAACTGGAGGGAAGGTGGGGGCGAGGGAAGGAGGGACAGGAGAGCAGGGAGCAATGCACGCCCACTCCCCTCATTCTGGAGACTCCTCATTCAGGGTTGGGTCCGAAGGGCAGAGATGGAGAAGCCCAGGGGGCTTGCTCTATAACCCCCCAACATCCTCCAATGCCTGAGCTGCACCACAGGCCCCATTCTGACTGGGCCAAACTGCCTACCTGGGTTTCCCTGTAGTGCCCTCTTGCTCTCAGGCGGATGATGAATGACAAAGCTCTGCCCTGCCTCTACACTCCGGACCACCCCTCCCCGCACTGCCCCCGCGCCCCCCCCACCTTCGCTTGGGGGTGGGGTCTCAAGTAGGTTGGTCATGACAAGTGTTCCAGCAACTCCCCTGTGTCCGTTTATTATCAAATGAAAGACAGCCAGCCGTTGTTTGGTGCTTCAGAGACATTTTCTGAGGAAAACGTTTTACTTCCTGTCCCTATTTTTACCCTCAATACAAAGCCACTGAAGGGGACTCAGGAACCGGGGGACCTTTGATGTCTGCCAGCCTGCTTAGACAGAAGCGGGGCCTGGAAAAAGCCCAGGGTGGCCTGAGAGGGTGCAAGTCCCGGGAGAGCGCCAGGCCCCTGCTCCTCTCGCAGCTCCTGCTGAGCGCTGGGGTTCGCTGCCCAGCACATGTGGGCCTTCCACCTCGGCTTCCCTTTCCGCAGAAACTCTCAGAGCTAAGAGGAGCCCCAAGGAACGGGTTTTTAACAGCAGATACTCAGACCAGCTGGATTAAAAAAAAAAAAGTCCTAGAGTTGTAGGAGTTTACAGACCATTTGGTCCAATCTTTCATGTTAGATACGAGAATGACACTCTAAGAGGTCACAGGATTTGCCCGACACTGTCCACAGCTGGTTAGTGACACTTCCTGAAAACCCAGATTCCCTCATTTCTGATCCAGTGCGGCTTTTTTTCCCCACTTGGCTATTCGAAGATATCTTTTGGGGCTTTAAGCCTTTGCATTTGCCATTCCTGGCCATCTGTTCTTCCCCGGGAAGACGCCTGGCAAAGGGATACCCTTAGTTTTGCTGCCCAGCTGCATGCCTGCAAGCTACCTAGGAAGGCATGAGTGGCTAAAAACAAGTATTTAACTCTGGGTAGAAACATCTGGCTGAAAACGGCGAAAGAGCCAGGTGCAGCCTCTCCTTACTTTCCACTCAAACTGTCTTAAAGACCTAGAACAGCAATTTTTTTCTTTGTAAAATGTTAAATTTAAATTTATTGGGGCAGCATTGGTTAATAGGATCTTATGGGTTTCAAGTGTACATTTCTATGATAGAAGACCTGTTTACTATACTGTATGCCCATCACCCGAAGTCAAACCATCTTCCTTCACAATATACGAGGTCCCCTCTCATTCCCACGCTCCCTCCCTCCACCCCCTTCCCTCTGGTAACCAGCATGCATGTCTATGAGTTTCAGTTTTATATCCCACATATGAGTAAAATTGTATGGTTCTTTTTCTGACTGACTTATTTCACTTCGCATAATCTCAAGATCCATCCATGTTTTGCCAATGGCAGTATTTCACCTTTTCATATGGCTGAGTAGTATTCCGTAGTATATATGTACCACATCTTCTTTATCTGATCCTCTACTGAATGATATTTCAGTTGTCTATATGTCTTGGCCACTGTGAATAATGCTGTAATGAACATAGGGGCACGTATGTCTTTGCAAGTAGCTGTTTTTGAGTTTTTGGGTAGATACCCAGGAAATGGATCGCTAGGTCTATGGTAACCCAATTCTCAATTTTTTGAGGAACCACCAGACTGTTTGCCATAGTGGCTGTACCAGTCTACATTTCCACCAGCTGTGTGAATGAGGGCTCCTTTTTCTCCGCAACCTCTCCAATACTTGTTATCATTTGTCTATGGGTATCAGCCATTCTAACAGGTGTGAGGGGGGAATCTCATTGTTTTCATTTGCATTTTCGTAATAGCTAGTGAGGTTGAGCATCTTTTCATGTATCTGCTGGACAGTTGTATGTTTTCTTGGGAGAAGTGTTTGTTTGGGTCCTCTGCCCATTTTTTAATTGGACTGTTTGCTTGGTGTTGAGTTTTTTATGAGTTCTTTATATATTTTGGATATTAACCCCTTGTCAGAGCTGCTGTTTGCGAATATCATTTCCCATTTGATTGGCTGACTTTTTGTTTTGTTGATGGTTTGTTTTGCTCTGCAGAAGCTTTTTAGTTTGGTATAATCCCATTCATTTATTTTAGTCTTTACTTCCATTGTATTTTACTTTCCTTTCATTCCTTTACATGACCTTTGGGGTCAAATTCATAAAATGCTCTCTATCACCAAGGTCCATAAATTTACTACCTATGCTTTCTTCTATGCAATTTCTTGTTTTAAATCTTATACCTAGGTCTTTGATCCATTCTGAATTAATTTTTGTACCTGGGGACAAACTGTAATCTAGTTTCATTCTTTTGCATATGGCTTTCTAATTTTCCCAGCACCATTTATTAAGGGGCTTTCTTTTCTCCATTTGTATTTTTGGCTTCTTTGTCAAAAATTACTTTCTTTTTAAAAATTGATTTTTAGAGAGAGAGAGAAACATAAATTTGTTATTTCACTTATTTATGCATTCATTGATTGTTTCTTGTATGTGCCCAGGATAGAATCTGCAACCTTGGCGAACTGGGACAATGCTCTAAACAACTGAGCTAGCAGGCCCGGGCTTGGTGCACATATGTTGAGAAGTATTATGTGTTATTGATGTAATATCCCCTTAATCATTATAAAATGTCTATCTTTGTCTCTTATTACCTTTGTTACCTTGAAATCTATTTTATCAGATATAAATATGATTACACCTGCTTTTTCTGTGGATACCATGTGCTTGGAAACACCCCAATAAACTTAATAAAATAAAATAAAAACTACAATGAGATATCACCTCATACTTCTTAGGATGGCTATCATTAAAAAAAAGAGACAAATGCTGTTTACTCCTATGGATGTTTGGGATGAGTAAATTAGCCACACAGGGCTGCTGGCCAACTCATGTTCTTGAGCTTTTAATTTTAACTATGTTCCAAGTAAGATGGAGTATATCTTCAGTTATTTTTCTTTTCATAAAAAGTATATAGGTATACTTTTTGAGTCATTAAAGAATTGAGACTGCCTTCCTATAGGAAATAGCACTTGAACTGCATAAATTCGAGCATTACAACTACAGTGTCAGTTTTGCTTTTAATTTCCTCCAAAATTATTTATTCCTCATTTCCCTGAAAGTCTGTAAATCTTGCTCATCTCTCACTATTTTGTTTTACTACTGAGAGTCTGCTTTCTTAATCATTTTCTGTTTCATAGAAGCCACCTCTTTTTGCATCATGCTGAGACACCAAATGATTCTCTAAAATGTTCTTTAAATTTCTACAGACATTTTCAGATAAATTTCTTCTAATTTCAGATGACTGTCTCTTTTTCTGTTCTCCATAATTTCCATGTTTCCTTTTGTCCTGTATATTCATTCTCAAATGAGAACGAATCAGTCAGGTCCGCTCTGGTCCAGAGAAGAGGTGTGTCTATTCCTCTCAGACCTGCACTCAATCACCAACTGATACAACTAACCCAGTGCCTACCATCTCAGGAGATTTCTTTTAACTTGGCCCTGCGGGAATGCTGTGGATTCTTCTCCAGCATTCACTGAGACCAGTCACAGATTGCTGACAAGCTAGCTAAATGGAGCATGTACGTCAATCCCTAATACACTAACACCAAAGCACTACACTCGCCCACTGCTCTCAGGAAACTGCACCTCCCAGGGTTGACCTATCATCACTGGTGTCCCTCTCCCACGCCCCCCCCCCATATTTTTGCCCAATTGTTGTCTGAGAGCTGCAGTGCTTGTTGGTAGGTGGAAGGGTATGGACAACACTCTGGCTGCTTCAAAAGGCATCACCTATCAAGCAAGTGATGGCTGTTTGCTTTGAACTTATGAACAGCTGGAGGACTCAGGTGCTATTTTCTTCAATC